AAATTTGTAGTTGCCAGTTGACATGATATACCTGGAAAAAGAGCCTTCTTTTTACTGAAAGACTAAGACAAAGGTAAAACTTTGATTAAACTACTTCAGCTTCAGACAAGTCTCATTGTAGACATGTTCTGCTGACATCAGTAGTTTTAGTTTGAATATTGTAGCTAGTATTGTAGATTCAAATCTCACTGTGGGAGCAGAGAAAAGGTGTAGAAGAAACACTATTGTCTTCATCAGGGAATTTGTGACAAGATTTTGAAAACAATTGTCATGGTCAACAAGATACACCAATCCCTGTCTGTGGGTCAGTTACTTCAGTGGCTATTGCCTGGCCTGCTTGCCATTCTCCATCAGTGTTTCTTCTTAATCCTGGAAGTCCACATCAGAGTTCCCACCCAGGAACTCAGCCTTGCTGGGCAGAGAAGGTTTGTGGTCTGCATTATTCTTCTTCCAGAAAACCCCAGTGATTAACCCAGTGCTGTGCTGACTGCTTACATTTCACCGTTTCATGTCAAGAAATAGGAACCTAATTTAAAGATTTTATCAGACACAGATACAGAAGCAAAACATTTTTATTACTGGGCATTTATCTTAATGCTTGGCAACTGGGATGCAGTATTGCTTTAGCTCAGATAGAACAAGCTTGAACTTTGTCTCCTTTCCTAAGACGAATCCACAATTTTCACATTTTAAATGTACAAGGAACTGTTAAAGAGTTCTCTTTAACTCTTCTTTTTCTTATCTATATAGAAATAAAACATCTGTTTTACAAGGAAAAAGGAAAATCCTTAAAACAAGTAATTTAGTTGCCTGACCAAGAATGAGACAGGTCAAGGGATCATAGATGGAAAAATCTTGCCATACTGAAGTCAATGACGGATTTTCCTCTTGTCTGTCTGTGAGGCCAGGTTTCCACATTCTGCTTGTGAAATCAGCCTATCACAGTATCATCACAGTTCTAAAAAAACAGGTAGTCAGGAAGAAAATGCATTAGAAAAGTAAACTGCATCCAAAGTGATTGAAAAAAACAGACAAAACACTTCAGAATTAAAAAGAAGCAATGCTATCAAAGCAGTATCGGCAATATCAAGTCAGTTCTGCCAAAATACTATTTAAAAGAAAGTGAGAAACTCATGACATAATCAGATGACTTGCTTAAAATTCTCATTTAAAATAAATAACACTGAAACTCCAGATTTTTGTTAAAGTGAAATTTCTGTGTGAATCTGAGCTAGAGTAATTGCAGACCTAGATTTCGTCTGAAATTTTATCACTTATCTAGAGTTCTTTGGTGACAAGTTTAATATTCAGGTTTCAAAAGTTTCAAAATATTTTGTGAAAGAAATTCTTCAGCCCCTCTTAGTGATTTTTAATTTTCTTTATCTAAACTTTTTAACATAAGAATTTGATTTTTAAATCGTAATAGAACCAAGCCAATTATTAATATGCAATGTTTCTTACCCTGAGTGTTATATTTCCCTTATGGAATGGATCAACATTTTCATACAGGGGAGAGTACCACTTCTGCACACCCTCTCAGAGGCACTGAAGAAATTCCAGATGTGCTCAGGCTGCTCCCATGGCTGTAGAAATGTCGTGAACCCTTTCCAGTGCACCCAAGGGCAGGTTCTTCACAGCTGATCATTGACAGAAGGTTCAAAACCAAGTAGACACACTAGGTATCACTTTTCCATGATTTCTAAGGGAGTAGAGACTAAGGAGGAGGCAAAAATGAGGGAGAAGCAGCAGAGGGAACATGAGGGATGCACACTAGAGCAAATGAATATTCCTGAAGGACTGCAGCTTGTAGAGAGCACACATCAGAGCAGATTTTTCCTGACAGCAACTGCAGTTCATGGGCAAATCAGGGGAGCAGAGGAAGTGTGACGAAGAATGATGAGCAGAGAGAAACCACTCTGTACTGATCATATCCACCCCTGCCACTCTATACCATTTGGAGTGGGTAGAAGAGTATGGATTGAGGGAGTTGAGACTGAAGAAATGGAGAGGAAGGGTGTTGTTTTAATGTTCTTTTTTTATTATTTTCACTATTTTAGTTGGCAATAAATTATGTTGATTTTCCTTTAAGTAGTCTGTTTTGCCCATAGCAACAATTAGCAAACACTGTCCCTGTCCTTATCCTGGTTCATGATCTTTCTCATCCTATTTTCTTCTCCCTGTGTCCTACAGAAGAAGGAGGGGAGGGAGGAGGGAGTGAGCAGCTGGGTGAGTATTTGGCTGTTACCCAAGATTAACCCACCACAGCCTTCTTTTGGCATCTAAAGGGATGCCAAATCCCACATCCCTTTGTGGGAAGCGGCAGAGATGTACTTTTGCATTACCCTCCCTCTGCCACAGAGAAGTATGGCTGGCACATCCACTGACAGATCAGTACTCCATATTTGGCATTTCTAGCAGCATCTCAAACTGAGTCAGGGGTTCTGACAGGAAATGTCATCCTTGTCCTCTTTTAGACTCAGGCTGAGTCCAGCACTAGGGGACAGCCCAGAACGTACATGCTCAAGCTCCATGCTGTCCAAGCGGTCCTGCTCAAGCTAGTTTTGTGAAGAACTTGTCATGGTGGGTTGTCCTCCCTCTTTGGCCTGTCCACATTAATTTTACTATGAAGAGACTAATTGATTTTATGAAAATGATACTGCATTTTTATCACAGTTTATAGCAGAATAAGAAGGCACGTCTGGCCTTTTGTTGCTAAATACAGACATCTAGTGGCTATGTCTTGCTTAGCTTTCAAAAGAGAACAGTGCTTACAGATCAAGAGAATGAAAATTTCCTTCCTTGTACCTCACATAGAGTTACCCTGGAAGTCTTGGCCCTCTTGGGCACATAGCCATCTCAACTTGTGGCTATTGCCAGGGTTTCTAAAAAAAAAAATAAAAAATAAAGCCATAGTAAGGTTGGGGCACTGAATGCTCATCAATGCCAAATGGGTAATGCCTGACAGAAATGGCAACAGTTCTATTGTATTAATACAGTTCCTTGTATTAATTCTGTATTTATGTGAATACATAGCTATAAAAACCCCATACACAAACAATTAGCATGCCGGTGTACTTTTGATCCTTTTCTTTTGCATGTAATAAGTTCATTTCCTAAATAAAATACTTTGTTACTTTTTTTTTTTTTTTAATCTTAAGACTATTTTAGCATTTTCACTTTGGTTCAGAGAAACGTTGACTCAAGAGTCTTAAAGAAATGCACAAAAACTGAAATAAAAAAAGAACACAAGTATTTAACAGCTTTATTTTATATAAATTTCTTCATACATCCTAAGCAGGTTATGTGGGAACACTTACTATTTAGCTAATAGTCAAATCATGAAATAATGAAAATGAGCTGTAGAAGAAACTGCAGAAATTGTGACAACAATCAAATCACACCCATGCACCATGCAGAGGATAGCAGCATGAGGAATGGGTGTATTTCAGCCAGACAAAAGGAACAGCAGTTGTGGTTACTTATGTCCAGCCACAGGCCCTCTGAGTGCTCCACTGCCTATGTGCTGGAGGAGCTATTTAGGGACCCCACAAAGCTGTAGCACCTCAGAGCAATGTGTGAAGGAGGCAGGACTCCCTACTCCATCCCTTAATGCTGTTTGCTTTAACCAGGGACACACTCTTCAGTCTAGATCTAAAAGCATCAAAAATAAAATTAAACAGAATAACCTTTAGCAGCTATGTGTGTATTCTCATGCCAGTGTAGTTTGCTCTACCTTGTGTGGCAATCTTTCTAAAGAAACCAATCAGCATTTTAATATGGATGCATACTAATGAGCCAAATCCTTTTTTAGCAGATTATATACACATCAGGAGGACAAGCCCTTTCAGGCACATATTATTAACATAAGAGAACTTATGGATTTATGCATATGGATTTATATATATGAATTATATGGTTTGAATGTAGACATCTAGGGTTGGAGGAAGCATTCCAGTTCCTTGGTTTAACCTCCTGCATCACATCAGCCATGTTTCACTGTCAGCCTTTTATTTGATTGCAAATGAGTGTGAATATTCTTGCGATGGGAAATAAACAGTGACAAATCGTACTGAGATGAGAACATCCTACAATCCTAAGAACATAGTACTGATACAGTGTGATTTTCACATCAAGATTTCCAGTGAGAAGGAAGGGTTCAGGGCCTTCCTGCTGAAAGTTCTTTTATTTTTGTGCTATTTAGTGTCACTGAACTTTCAAGTATTATAGGGCTGGCTGGGCACTGATGCCACAGGTCTGTGTGTGACCTCAGCTCCTGAAAAAAGCTACAGCTCAAAGCGGTGACAGGAGTCATCTATGGCATCTTCCTCATTCTGGGGAGAGGTCACCAATCCACGTGTCTGTCCCCATCGGGAAGGCCTCGCTTTAAGTCCAAGGTACTTCTGGGACCCCGTCCCAAGGTTCGGTTGAGCAGTATGCGGCAACCAGGCGGACAAGGCAGTTTCCAGGCTGTTGCCGGCTCCTGCCAATCCCTTCCTGCAGGCAGCTGAGGGCAGAGAAGCCAGGACCGCCGCTCGGGTCCTGCGGCCGCCGCCAAGGAGTGCGGCGCCACCACCCGCACCGTCCCGCGGCCGCGGGAGCCGCTCCTGCCCCGGGAGCCGCTCCTGCCCCGGGAGCCGCTCCTGCCCCGGGAGCCGCTCCTGCCCCGGCCGCGGGAACCTCCCCGCCCGGCCCTTCGTGCCCTTAACACTGCACAGGGAAGCGAAAATCTCCGCCGGCTCCCCTGCGGCCCAGCCTCCGACCGGCTCTTCAAAGCCGATTGCCCAGAGCGGAAAACTATCAGCCCGCCTTTGCCCTGCCTCTGCCTCGGCGCCGAGAGCGGCCCGGCTGGCGAGGCCCGGCCCCGCCGTGCCCTGCCCGCCCCTCCCGGCCCCGCCGCTGCCGCTGCCGCCCCGGGTCTGCTGCGCCCCCGGACACCGGCAGGGGGCGGGCGCGGGCAGCGGCGGAGGCGCGGGTGGGCGCGGCGAGGAGAGGCGGGGGAGGCGCAGCGAGGCGGCGGCGGCCGCCCGGGAATCGCTTCTGTCTGCGCTCGGTGCCTGCAGGAAAACGCTGCTCCGGCCTCTGGCAGAGAGAGGCAGGCACTGCCCTCGCTCTCTCCCTCCGTATCCTTCTCCCTCTTCTCTTCTCCGCTGCTTCTTCCCGGGCGCGCTGAAGCATTTTCTCACAGGCCCAACCCAGCCCTCCTTCCTACATGGCAGCTTTCATGTGTCCGGCTGTAGACGTTTGCCGACTTTCCTAGCACTGGCCAAAGGAAACAGTACTTTGTAATCTAAAAATGAGCAGGTATGAAAGAGCAGCCATTCCAGAGGGACCTTGCAGGCTTGACGTGTGAACCTCATGGCGTTCAACAGGGCCAAGTGCAAGGTCCTGCTGTGGCTCAGAGCAGTCCTGAGCACAAGTACAGGCTGCAGGAAAAATGGTTAGAGGGCAACCCTGAGGAGGACTTGGGGGTGTTGGCGAGTGAAAAGCTTGATACGACCTGGCAATGTGCACTTGCAGCCCAGAAAGCCAAATGTGTCCTGGACTGTGTCAAAAGCAGCATGGCCAGCACAGCCAGAGGTGGGATTCTTCCCCTCTACTCCACCCCCCACCCTGAGTACTGCATCCAGCTCTGGAGCCCCCACATAAGGTGGCCATGGACCTGTTGTAGTGAGTTCAGAGAAGGGCCACAAAGACAATCAGAGGGATGGAGCCTTTCTTCTGTGAAGAGAGGGTAAGAGAGATGGGGTTGTTCAGTCAAGAGAAGAAAGAGAAGGCTCTGGGGAGACCTTACAGCATCCTTCCAGTACCTAAAGGGGACATAAAATAGAGATAGAGAGGGACTTTTTACAAGGGCATGGGGAATGGACAGAGGGGAGTGGCTTCAAACTGAAAGTATGTTAGGTAAGATATAAGGAAGAAATTCCTTACTTTGAGAGTGATGAGGCACTGGCACAATTTTCCCAGAGTTGTGGATGCCCCATCCCCGGAAGCATCCCAGGCTAGGTTGGATGGTTGGATGGGGCTTTGAGCAATCTGGTCTAGTGGAAAGTGGTCCTGCCCATGGCAGGGTGATTGGAACTGGATAATCTTTAAGGTGTCCCTTCCAACCCAAGCCATTTTGTGATAAAAAAAAAAAAAAAAAAAAAAAAAAAAAAAAAAAAAAGGCACGCCATTTTGCATAGCAAATCTCTCCATGGTACCATGGTATCACTCAGATTTAAGTGACTGTTCCACAAAAGCTGAAAGTGGCACTTGCTGCAGTCTGTGACACCTTCAAAGAGCAGCTCACCATTTAAGTACCTCACTGTGATAGCTTGGAGCTATCACTGTGGGCTTGACACTATCACATAAGTTCACAAGCCTTCAGTATATTTATGACTACAGTTTGCTCATAAATATTCTCTGCACTTTTGTGTCAGAACTAATGTCAAAGACTCTGAGCTGAGAGCCTGAAGTAATTATTTCTCTAACAAACATAATTATCAGAATTAACAGAATTAAGTCTGTCAAGGACACTGTCTCTTAAAGGAGACAAGTCCTTGCATGAGAAAAGTTATTCAAATTGATTTGGTGATTGACTGATTAAACCATATTTGGAAGATCACAGCTTTTCATGCAGTGTAAGCCCTTACGGTCACCATAATATATTTCTTCAGGCAAAGGAAATAACCTGGATTTTTTGTCAAATTCCAGTCTGGGTTACTTAATCCAATGTACTGGAAGCTCCCGTGCAGGTTCAACCACCCTTGTTGCTTCTAATGCAACATATGGGTACTTTCCCAATTCTCCTACTGCTGTGGTATGCGGTAAATCAGCTCCTTTATTATAACCTGCAGTGTGAAGAGATGAGAAATAAACTCCTGTACAAATTTGTGATACTAGATTCCCTTTGAAAGAGAGCTGCTGCAGTGGACACACTTCTGTAAATATTTTCCAAAGAGTTGTGCAGGTACAAAATTAATCCCCATTGCCAAACCCAGGCCACCTTGTTCCTTTCCTGAGTCTGGCCTACCTCCAGAGTTAGGGCAATTGAGTGTGACTGGCAGAAAAGTGAGATGAGGAAAGAGTATTTCAGTGTGGAGTTGCAACTCTGTACAAATCCCTTTGAATTTGTTCTTCCTCCTGCACAGGGGCGAGGCAGCATGCTGTGAATATGGCTCCAACAAAGGGAGGCAGAAACTACTCTCAAATCACTCAGCCTCTTTCTCCAATCTGTGAACATGCCTAACCAATTTGAGGAGACATCAGCTTCCACCAAGGATATAATCATGGGTAACTGCCTCAGTGTAGAGGAGCTTAGGAGTTGGAGAGCTGTACATGCTTTCTGCTTTCTGTGCATGCGGCAAGGCAGATTGACAGGCAGATTGACAGGTGCTTTCTGTCTGAAACCACCCCAGTTGGGTGGAGCAGGCTTCACATGGCTTCAGCTGGGGGATTCACTCTGTCAAGAAGCCAGTGGGAGCAAATTGAGCTGCCTGGAGTTGCTACAAATAGATATTAATCTCTGCCTCGATATGAGTAACTTCTTAATGCCATGCTGCCTTACCAAACAATTTGTTAATCAGCCATAAAGATGTGTCTCTAATAGCTCACTGCCCCTCCTGCAAGCGCTCAAGCAGTGACTCTTCTTCCCAAGTCAATGGCTTTTATTGCCATAGGGACTTGACGGAAGTAGTACCATCTCCTTGCCTCAGGACTAGCACAGAGCTCCAGTCAGAAGCAGCAGCTGAAGAAGACACCTGCTCTGGAAGAAAGGATGTGTCCTATAGAGATGGAGCTCTCCATCACAGTTCTTAAAGTGCTTTTAGAATAAAGGCAGTGCCTGACAATGTTTGTTCATGCTGCTTTTGTGGCTTTGGGAGGTCTGAAGCTGATTCCCCAAGCAACAGATAATCAAAATGGGGTTATAACGTGGTTAAGATTTTCAGTAACTGGACAGGAGCAAGAATGCATCTATACAAGCTGAATTTTTATCATTAGATGTGATTAATGTTCTTGCATTGGTTGGAAAGGAATCGCTTAGGTAACTACTTTATCCCTAACTCAGGGAGCACGACATGTTAAGTGATTCTATTCTAAGTTTGCAACCTTTTGGTATGCTTATTCCTGCAGTTTACTCATAAATATTCTTCTCAATATTGAGCAGAAAGATGGAGGTATTAAAAAGACATAGATAATAAATGGTTCATTTGCAGAATGAAGCACGCATGTTCAGATCAGCAAATTCTTGTTCAGCTTCTCTGTTCCTGAAGGTTTCTAAATACCGGAAGTGTTTTTTGTTTTTTGACAGGCTCCAGCAGGCAGAGTTGTCACAATGCCCAGGGGCCTGAGGTTCAGCTGTCTCCCACAAAATACACAGCCATAGCACTTTCTCTCATGCTGAGTCTCATGACTTCAACATCCCACTGGTCTGCAGAGGTGGCACAGTTCTGCAGCACAGTGATGAAGATGCTTATGTGGCAGAGAAGGGAGAGAACCAGGAAACTGAATTATAGCCACCCTTGTCCATGAACATGAATACATGTACATAATCATGTCTATGTACCAGTTCTTAAATGTATAACCAGCACTTTGAGAAAACACAGTATCGTAGACAGAATCCCTAAAGCCATGCAAGGCATGCTGAGACCAGGAGCACATCCCTTCCATCTCTTGCTTTGATTCTTTTACTTTATTCTTCCTCAGTGTCCCTACCTCAGGAGGGAGCGAAAGTGCCACCTGGCAGAGAGATGCAGTATTTAAAACCACCCTGCACCTTGTCCTAGCACTACATGCCTATGTAAAAAGTTATTCTGAATCTTTTTTACAAGCTTCCTTTAACTACTGGAAAGCCCCAGTGAGGTGTCCCTGGAGCCTTCTCCAGGCTGAACAATCCCAGCTCTCTCAGCCTTTCCTCCAAGGAGAGGAGCTCCAGCCTTCTGATCATCTTCATGGCCCTCCTCTAGACCTGCTCCAACAGATCTATGTCAAACCACTCTATGATTATATAATTTTACTTGTGTTATTTCACCTCAGTGACACTGAACTGCATAAACCACATTTCTTCCTCTAATAAATAGTGCAGACAGCACTCCTATTGAGCATGAGTCCCTTCCAGCACCTAATGCAACCTGCTCATTTGCAACACCAGTCTGACCACATCACTCTTTGTGTGTTTGTACTCTTACTCTCCCTCACATAGGAATATGCAACACTTTCTGCATCAGCAAGTTTAGAAAATGGAATCTTCCCTTCTCTAATCTGCTGAATAAAATTGGATTGAAGAATGGCTCTCTAACTTCCTTTACCCGCAAGAGCTTAATAGCTCTTAATGTGTGAACAGTGTCATTTTAATGTGATATGAAAGAGGGAAAAAATGCTCTACCCTGTTGCAAATGTGTGAATTTTGTAAACAATGTGAACATGTGCCCACCAAGTGATACATGATGACAGGAGTTGGCCAGTCCATTACATGATTCACTGTCAACCACTTGAAACCAGAACTGAGAGATGGAGCCTTGGTTTCAGCCTGAGGGTCTAGCACTCTTGAGCAGGATCCTACACTGGAAAATGTGTCAGAGAATAAATGGATAAGGAGATTTCTGTACATTTGTCTATCTAAACAGTTGATTCAGCTATCACAGCTCTGTGTGTTGGTCTGCTTCTGGCTCAAATCACCTGAGGTTTTGCTGTGTGCTTGAGTGTGGACAACATGAGACCAAATTTAGACATACTACTCACAACAGCTCTGTTTGCAGGTTTTAGGCCTCTGGGAACTTTCAACCTTCTTGATCACCATGTTCATGTTCAAAAAACACTCAGGTCACTGGACCTGCAACCTGGGCATTGACAGCAAAAGCCATCTGCTACCAAAGGAGGCAGAGCAGCCACTCTGTCACTACATTTCTATCATCCTTTCCTATATGGGAGAAGAAGTGATTTTATTTACACACAAGGAAGTAATTCCATCTTACAGAACAATGAAATCTGAACTGTTTACCAAATTGACTCCTAAACCTCAAACTCATCATACCATTGAGTCTTCTACATTTCTTATTAAAAACTCAGTGTAAGATCTTTCAGGCACATGTCCATCGAAAAAGGCTAAAACTTTCTATAAAAGCAGGTGAATGGACTATTTAGACAAGACATTTAAATTCAGATGGCCCAAATATTATATAGGAATGGTCTAAAACTGTAGCAGTGGAGGCAGGCTTCTCAAAGAATCTGAAGGGAACTGGGAGATTGATTGTTTTAAAAACTAGTAAGAATGGAAAACATTTGCAAATTTCTGTTTTAAAATCCACGTTTTCTCTCTTATTTTCAAAGAAATCTTTCCTTTTGTTATGTCAACTCATAAATTATGAGTTCCAAAATAAACAAATGGACAAGAGACATGCAAATGTCTGTGAGACTGAATTTCAGCCTTATCCACGTGAAATGCTATGCCCTTATTTCAAATTCTTGATCCACCGTTGCTTCAGTTTAATAACAAAAGGGACATAAGACAATTCAATAATGACTGGCTACTGGAACCTTCTAGGAATTTTTCCAGATTTCCAACTAAATTTTTAAATACTGGGGCTGAGAGTCTTAAAAGGCTCCCTAAGATCATCAGACCATCTGCACTAGTGTTTACAGCCCTTCTATCAAAAAACCAGAATACCTTTATAGCCACAAGGTCTAATTGGCCCTGCCCACTGAGGAAACAAGCCGAGAGCAGATGCTTATAGTTTGCCAGATAATCCCCGACAGGGATTACAGCCTCCTTACTACAAAAACTGTGTCTCTAGAAATGAAATCAAAATGGGTCAGTGTAGCCACTAATAATAGAGAAAGCTAAGGTTGCTTTCCAAAAACTGAGAAAGCTATAAATTTAGAAATCAACCAGCCACATCATCAAAAACTAGATTGCGATCCTCGACAGAGTTTTACATGGGATGACTCACCAATCAATTTTAAAGTTGTTATAGCTTTACATAACAATTTTTTTCCCCTACACAACAACTAACTTCTTACTTGCAAAATGCTGTTACAAGGGGAGATGTCCTTGCTGTTTGCCACAGATATAGAAAGGCTCAAGCTGCTCTCATCGTTTGAAGAAGCAAATCAGGATTAAAAAAAAAACCAAAAAACAAAAAACAAACAAACCAACCAAACAAAAAAAAAACCAACCCCCCCCCCAAAAAAAAAAAAAAAAAAAACCCACCAAAAATCAGCAAAATGCCCAAAGCAGATAATTGATACTGCAAAGTTAAGTTCAGAAGCTACTGTTCTGGCTCTTGTACTCAAACTAGAAAGCAGACCGCCTCTTCCAGAGCAGTTTCAAATGGGTAAGAAGAATCCTTGAGATTCTTGTGACATACTTTTAGGAGAGCAATTAAAAGTCCTAGAATTTTCTACCAGAAAGATAAAATTGCCTGGTACAAGAGGATTAATAAATATGAATCCCATGTGCCCTCTGATTCAGACCATGCACAGCTAATTATTGTTTAACTGGATTTGTTTAGGATAAATTTCTAAGAACTCCAGAGCATGGTAAGCTGGAGCTGAACTTGTGAGTCTTCCTAGTGAAAACTGCTTCTAACCCTGTCTTTTGACTATTTTGTGCCATAAAAGAAAAATCACCACAGAGTGGAATAGATCTGTTGGTAGTCTGTTATAGTTGCAGAAGATTGGCTTGGCAGGGTTTTCTAATAATAAGTTTGCACCTGAAGGTTGCTTGTACTGCTATCAGGTGGTAGCAGTGCCAGTAAGTATTGGTAGCCTTTCTGAATGCTGCAGTTCATTCTTATGTTCACTGTCCCCTACTAACTGTGATGTCTATGGCAGGGAGTCTGAGTGGATTGAATGGGAAATTCCCTCTGTAAGCTTGGTTAAGCTCGATAGGGTGTAAAGCAAAGAACCAAAGTAAAGAGCTCCTGTGCTGTGTCTGTGGCTGCAGGATTAATTTCAGTTACATTATGGAGCTCTGGCTACAGAAAGCAAGATCACATCATCTCTGGAGAAGAAGATTTAATGAACCATTGAGCTGCCCTCCATAAAATGTAGTCAGAGGGGATTTTGCAATTCACTTCCCCTGGGAAGAGGCCTGCAAGAATCTGCAGGGGCCACAAATGCAGAATCATTTACATGCTAGCCCACAGGAGTTAGCACTGCTGTGCTTCCTGGCAGCCAGTTGAAGCAGTCTTCCTCAGCTGCTGGGGAGCGGTTTAGAGATGGCTGTGCTGGAATACAGCAACGTCACCGGCTCTCAGGGACACAAGCCTAGAAATTCCAGCAAGAAGGTTTCAGATCTTTGCTTTACACCCCATTGAGCTCAGCCTTTTCATCTCTTAGAGAAAAAAATTATTCCAGTCTTACAGCTTATGACTTTAGACAACAGAGGACAAGTGACTTGTTAAAATTTTCCCAGTGAAGGCACTGAAACCAAATCTTTTCAGTTCTTCCTTTGTTTTACAGGCCTTTTGTGCCCAAGGTCCACTGGATGCTAACAACTGAGCCCCTTCCCTGCAGAATAAATGGAGACTCATCCTTCCTTCCTGGCAATTCCTGATCCTAAGAGTGTCACTCCCAGCTTGTTCCAGGAGAGGAAATCCCAGACTTATGCAGCCTTCTTTGGGTCAAGAGGTCTCAGCAAAGCACTGATCATAAAGCTCAGATCTCTATGAGAATTCAGTCTCAAGCTGATCCCAACTCAGCGGTATGGAAAAAAAGCTGTGAAGTCTGAGCAGCATTTTCTTCCCACCTTAAGACGATCTAGGGATTAGAACAAGCAAAGAGGGTTTGCTTGGTTTTGTTTTGGTTTATTTTGTCCTATTAATTCTTCAAAGGAGTAAGCATTTAAAAA